CTCTACTTTAATTCTTACTCTATTCTATTCTTTTTAATTCTAGTCTAGACTAATTCTACTCTAATTCTTATTCCATTCTACTCTACTCTATTAAGTCTAAGTCTAGCCTAGCCTACTCTATTCTAATTTTAATTTTATTCTACTTTAATTCTTATTCTATTTTATTCTATCCTATTCTATTCTAAGTCTAGTCTAGTTTATTCTCCTTCTGGAAAACAAGAGGTCCCATCAACCAACTTTAATGGACTGATGGCATGGTAATCCAGAATAATAGGAAGAAACTCTGGTTCAAGACAGCCCCAGTTTAAACCCTACATTACTGTCTGCATCTCACTGCAACTCATGAAGTCTGAAGCTTTTAATGAAATTAATTAGTTTGAAAAAAGGGCCTTCCTGATTTGGAGCTTTCCTCTTACAAGGTTGAAACCTTTGCAGCACCTTTGTTGTTGCTCAGAATAAGGACCAGAGGACGGTTTTGTGACACCACAGAACGTTTACAAATACAGTCCTAATCCAAAGCCCTAGGCTGTTCTACGTGTACCAACTGCCAACTAGCATCCAGGATAAGTATTTTCTTCATTCCCCATGGCAGAAGATTAGCCTTTCTTTTTTCTAAGGAATTAGGCCATCTTGACAAATCTTGCCTGAAGCTTCTTCTAGTTGCCTAGCCAGCTGACTGCACAAGTAGTCCATCCATTTAGTGACTGTTTGAACTTACAACGGCACTAAAAAAAGACCATTTTTCATACTTACAAGCATGGCGGCATCCCCATGGTCAAATGAGCAAAATCAGGATGGTTGGAATCCAACCCCTGGCTGAATACACAATTTGTGGCCTATCCTGGGATTCGTTTTTGTGAGGGTTGTCGCAGCCATGGATCCCAAAAACTCAGGAACCACGAACTGATGTCATTGTGTGTTCCCTTCCTTAGGTGGGACACGTCCTTGTTACCAACACTTTTCGGATAGACAAAGCAAGGAAGCAGCTGGGCTTTCATCCCAAGAAATATTCCTTGGCTGAAGTGGTGGACAATTATTTCTGAAGAAAATCTATGCGCGAAGACAAAGGAAGTCCCTCCCCCTAATATTCAGGCTTGGCCCAAAGGTGGGTTTCCCCCCCCTCTAAAAGACAACTGGACTCTCTTTGTTTTTCCTTGAAGACCTTTCGCTTCTCATCCGAGAAGCTTCTTCCAATTTCGAGTGAATGGTGGGAGGATTTCTATTCCTTGCAGTCATCTGGTCGTTAGCACTCTCTCTGAGAGTCACTGAGGCCACCTGGAGGTTTACCTTCATATTTTTCATCTTTATATTGTTTCTTTTTATGTTAGGGGTTTTTATTTCTCATTGAGCAGTTTTCAGAAACCTTTTTTGCCTATAGGGAACACAGGTAGTCCTCGACTTACGACCACAACCAAGCCCAAACTTCCTGTCGCTAAGCAAGACAATTGTTAAGTGAGCTTTACTCCATTTTACCCCCTTTTGTTGCCACAGTTGTTAATCAAATTGCTGCCGTTGTTAACGGAATCACCTGGTTGTTAAATGAACCTGGCTGGGAAGGTTGCAGGTGATGACCCTGGGATGCTACAACTATCACAAACATGCCAGTTGCCAAGAGTGTTGATCTCTTTTGAGGACGCTGCAACCATGTTAAGTTTGCAAACTGCTTATAAGTCACTCTATCTTCAAACAGTCATTAAATGAATGGTTGTAAGTCAAAGGACTACCTGTAAATGGCTTGGTTCAGAAAACGAAGAAAACCACCAAGCTCAGCTTGCTGGTCATGTGACTGGGTGGGCGTGGCCAACTCAACGTCACCCACATCAAGGGGCGCTTCTCCTCGCCTGGCCTCTCATGACCGTGGGGAATGCTGCAACGGTCGTAAGTGTGAAAAATGGCCATAAGTCACTTGTTTCAGTGCCATTGTAACTTTGAATGGTCACCAGTTTTAGACCAAAACTCAAAAAGGGTATGTAAACTCACGCTTGAATGTAATCTTTCTAGCTAGCCACGAAGCCTTGCCGAATGTCACTCATCTTGGTTCCTTGTCATTAAAAACTTCTTTCTGGTTTCTTTCTTCGTTATTGAATTATTTCTCCAAAGTGCTAACTCCAACGGGCGAGCATTTCCTCCCAACAGCGGTGTAAAAAGCTTAAAACAACCCTTCCCCTTTACGAAAGCAAAGGAAAAAAAGAACCTCCTTCGGAGACAGGAAGTCTAGGCATACTGCCAAGAATGTAAGAAGGGTAGAAAAAAACACGAAAGGACTTTTCTTTCCCGCAGTTGGTTCTTCGAACTGCTTAGAAAGTTCCAGAGAATAGTTGAGGACCAGTAAAATCCACCCCTGCTTCGTTGGTAATTATTTATTAGTCTGGCTTGGAAGTTGAGTCTTGCCTTTGAGCTAAGACCCAATGTTATTTATTGTGTGTCCGGCAGTGATCCCCCAAACTTTCTGGATTGGCAGCCCGGCTGGGGATGGGAAGAGGGGATAATTCCTTGTGAATGGTAGGGGGCCCATGCAAACGAATGCAGCTCCTATCAGGATTCCGGCAGCTTCCCCCATTTAAATCATGAGTCTCTAGCCAACTTCCAAAGGTTAAAGATGATTTATTAGGAGTAAACATGTCGGCACTTCCTGGGTGTAGCCAACTCTGCGACTCATCATTCATTGTCACCCTTGACCCTGGTTTTCCCCCCATCCCTCTGTGTGTATCGTAATTCATATTCTCCAATGGGACACATCCATAGCCAAGAGTCATCTGTCATACTCTCCAGTTAGAATTTTGAGCGGCAGAAAGTTCAATCACCTGGAAACTATCTTGGAAAACATTTATGGGATGCAGTTTTGCAAGCAGCTGCACTGCTCCCCTCTCCCTTTCTGTTGGCAACTCTAAAAGGATCAGAGAAATATTTTATGAATTGACATTTTGTGTGAACACAAAATGGCTGCCGCTCGGGTGAGGGGAGCTTCCCACGCAAGGGCAAATGGCCGCCAACTCGCACGAGGGGAGCTTCGCACGTTCACACGGACTCGCCCGCCACCTGCACAGCCCTGTTCCAAACCCGGTAGTGGGCTGCTGCCCCAGGGGTTGAGGACCCCAGACATAGGGGAGGCTTGTTGGGATGCTGAATAATTCGACTGGGAGTTCAAAGGTCTGTGACCACCTTGGGGACAGCTTTGAAAATTCCTGCATCAAAAGGCCTCTGAGGATTAGCTCTCCTGGGCAGAAACGCCCTCAGTTTTTAACCACCACCATGAGATGTCACAGAATAAAAGAGCTGGAAAGGCCCATTGAGATCTTCTAGTCCAACCTCTTTCTCTTTCAATAAATGTAATGATTTCTAAGCTTAAAAATAAACCAGTACAAATGTGGTACAAAATCCTATGGTTTTGCTGATGGTTTTTTATTTATTTCTCTCTCTCTCCGTCTCTCTATTTCTTTCTCTCCCTTTCTCTCCCTCTTTCCTCTCTCCCCCTCTGTCTTTCTTTCCCTCCTTCTTTCCCTCTCTCCTCCCTCCCTCTTTCTCCCTTTCTCTTTCCCCCTCCCTCCCCTCTCTTTCTCTCTCCACTCCCTCTTTCTCTCTCCCTCTCCCTTTTTCTCTCCCTCTCTCCCTCCCTCTTTTTTTCTCTCCCTCCCTCTCCCCCTTTCCCCCTCCCTCTCTTTCTCTCCCCCTCCCTCCCCCTCTCTTTCTCTCCCCTCCCTTTCTCTGTCCCTCTCCCTCTTTCTCTCTCTCACTCTCCCCCCTTTCTCCTTCCCTCCCTCTCTCTTCCCCCTCCCTCCATCCCTTTTCTCTCTCCCCATCTCCCTCCTTCCCATTCTGTCTTTCATGAGGGCAGCCCTCTCTCCTCCAAAATCATGGCAACAGATCGTGGATTGTTGCACGCCCATCACATCCCAACAGATCCCGGGTTTACCCAGGGATCCAGCCGGAATGATACAAACCACGCTTCTCAACCTCAGGAATTTGGAAGTCGTGTAGACTTCATCTCTCAGAATTTCCTAACCAGCCACAGTCCATCCGTCTTCACATTCTGGAGGCTGAAAAACACTGGTTTATACTGCAGTATGACATATGTGTGGTTGTGTGTGCATGTGTGTATGTGTTGGAAGACAGAATTGGAGAACTAATTGGAGGACAGAGAATCGGGGACTTGCCTCTGGAAGGTTCCCTGCCCAGCCTTCAAAATTGGACCATTAAATTTGCTCAAGGTTGCTCAAGTGGATTAGTAACTTGGATTACGGTTTATAATCACCATGGAAGGAGAAGAAGAAGAAGAAGAAGAATCTAACTTTATATAGACCATCAAGAGACATCACTATTTACAATATATTAAAAAATAAAATAATACTGACACATTATAATACATTAATAGTGGATAATAACATCCCTGTAAAGAAAATACATGTTCTCGAACAGTTAGGGTCACCCCAGTAATGGGATTCAACATTTTTTATTACCAGTTCTGTGGGCGTAGCTTGGTGGGCGTGGCAGGGGAAAGCTACTGTAAAATGTCCAGTCCGAGGTGGGATTTGCTGGTTCTCCAAACTACTCAAAATTTCTGCTTCCGGTTCTCTAGAACTGGTCAGAACCTGCTGAATACCACCTCTGGGTCATTCCCTAGTTTATGTGAGTGGAGAACTGATGTGAGTAAATATCATTTTCCAAAAATTAACAGATAATCAGAGTTGGGGGGGGGGGCTTGTAGAGTTGGGGGGGACCTTGTAGGTCATCTAGTCCAACCTCCTGCTCAAGCAGAAGACCCTTCGTACACCATTTCTGATAGAGAAGAGAGCCTGGCTTCTTCTTCTTCTTCTTCTTCTTCTTCTTCTTCTTCTTCTTCTTCT